CTTTGAGAAGTCACAAGAAATTTACAGAACTAATGTGAAGTGATTTTTTTTTTTTTTTCTTATTCAGAGCAATCACATGGACAACAGAAAGGCTGTACTGGATCTGAAAGATGTCCCTCCTCCACCACTGCACCATACTTCCTCTTCCCAGTTATCCCAGCCCTTCTCTCTGTCCTCTCTCCCATTGCCTCCTCCCTGCTTGCCGCCGCCTCCCCCTCAGCTTGCACAAGACTCCCTCCAACAACAGCCGCCACCACCTCATCAGCAACGAGAGGGGGCTAGCCCCAAAGTAAGCATCTGCGAGCACTGTGACTACAACAGCACAGATGGCTTTGGGTTGTTGGGTGGCAGAGGTGTTGTTGGTAGCGGCAGCAACGCTGCGGGAGTTGTTTCGCTTTATATGGCCCCAGGGTCTCTGGGAGCACCGATCAGTACTAGTAGGTCCGGGCCTTGTTCTGTAGCCTCATCTGTTCATCAGTATAAACATAAATTTAGCTGTGGCACTGGAGGTGAAGCTTTTGATCCTTTATTCAGTCTTGGTTGCAAACCTCAGCTGTCCTCTTCTGTTGCTACCTCTCAACCTATTTCATCACACCCCTACCTCCCCTGCTGCTCAGGGCTTCTCCACACCTACCCAGCTGTACCTCTTTCTTTCAGTCAAGCCAGCCTCTTTCCCTCTTCAGCACCGATGGCATCCTCTCTCCCCTCTGTTTCCTCTTTACCTGCTAGCTTGCATGGCTCTTGCCTGACCTCTTCTGGCTTTTACACATGTGGTGTGGACTGCAGCGCATCAGCCAGAAGATCCCAAGGAAGTATAGTCGGTGGTCACCCAAGCACCAGCACCATCACTACTACAGCCACTTCAGCACACTTCTTCTCTAATCCTATGCACCTAAATGTTGAACGCACTGTTTGTGTGAAGGGGGCACACTACTGTCAGGAGTGCTTATTTAAGGTTCGTTGATCTCTCTTCATTCAATTTGTGTGGCCTAAAGATGCAGGTATTTTTT